GCTGGGGGTAAACTGGATCTGGTTTTTCCCTCAGATTGGAAAATTTCTCGCGTAACTAGAGTTGTTGATAATGTGAGATTGTTGTTGTTTATTATTGTTGAGTCCTTTTTCTTGGATTCCCTTGGAAAAGTCTGGTGTCCCCTTGTTCTTGTCTGGTGTCGAGGTTGCCTGATTTATCGGGTGGAATCTGGCTGGCCAAGATCCTTCTAGTGTCTAGGGAGGTGCAGAACCTTGTACACGACTGGCTAGGAGCTGGGAGGGTTGATGCTGACTTTTCTAGGAGCTTACTGTGAATTGTAAAACTTGTGCTTTTCCCTTTCTCTTAAAAGTTTGTTTCTTTAAAGAAAAGGGAATCAAGCAAAATTGTTGATAGCAAAGTTACTCTGTGAAGTAAGTTTACTTTCCTGAATAGTTGTAGTGTTCTTTTAGTTAAGGTTTCTTGTAATGTTTTGGAGTTTCTTATGCTGGAGGATTGTTTTGTAAAAAAATGTTCTTAAAATTACCAAAAAAGACAATTTTTAAAAACTGATGGTTTTACGGGAAAGAGTTTTTTTTTTTCAGTATATAGACAGATTTTAAGAAGGTTTTTCTAATATTTATATATGAATTATTGAGTTACAAATTTTATAGTTTTTATAATATGTAGATAATATTATACAATATTAAATTATGTTTATTTTTTTTATAAAATTTTTTTATACTTATTAAAAAATTAAGAAATTATCAAGTTTTTTTATATTGAATAATTCAAAAAATTAAGAAACTATTTATCAAGTTTTTTTATATTAAATAATTTAAAATTTTTGTTAAATAGATTTTAATAAATAAATAGTTCTTCTATACTAAATATTTTTATACAATTAAAAGAATATTTAAATTTTGGATTTTTATTTAAAATTGCAATATATTATACTAAAAAAACTAATATTGTACTATATTTAATCAATTCTGATAAGTTCAACTTTATAATAGACCATTATTGATTAAATTTATAAATATATATATTTTATAATATCTTTTGTAAATTTTTTAAAAAAGTTGAATAAAAATTTATATTAGCAAGTTTAAATAAATAAAAAACAATAATAAAATAGGTTATATTAAATAAATTATTAATTTTATATTATTAAAAAATATTTAAATTTGATATTAAATAAATAAATAAATAATTAATTAAACGAATAATTTGAAGTAAACATGATATTGTATTTGATAGTTATTTAATATTTTATTTTTATACTATAGATACATAATTATTTATTATTTATTAAAACAAATTATTGATTATATATATATATATGTCGTTTGCATAATCTATAATTTAATTTATGTTTATTTTTGAAATTACTGATAATATTACATTTTGGTTTTTTAAATTTTTCATTATATATATATAATTCAATATTCAAGTAAGTTTAATCCCATTTTTACTTAAAAAAAAGTGATTATTATTTATTAATTATCATTATTATTTATATATTATATTTTTTTATATTAAAAAAAAAAAATCTATGCTATACGCCTATACCATTATCTAGTTGATCAGTTGAGCACTGATAAAATTGATAATCTGTTTATATGTTGATCAGTTGGCACTGTCACAAGATCAACAAGATAAAAGAAAAATTTCCCAAACACATTATTCTTCCCGACCTTTGAAATATACAGTCTATTATTTTAGCGGAAAAACCTTTCGTGCTTACATGATTCTTCCTTCGCAGGTATGTTTGCAGTTCTAAAGTCAACCCTACCCTTTATTGTCTTGCTTTTCATTTTTATTATTATTCGTTTTCTGAATTTTGGAGTGGTGACTTCTCTCACGAGGTCCGGAGTAGAGTGTTCGCTAATGCGCTAATACCTCGGGACCAAATAGGAGGATTGAGTCATATTAGTGTAGTTCACATCTAGCTACTTCACTATTCCCTGTAGCATACTAGATAACATTATCTAACGAAAATCATCGACACTACTTTAGGTGATATGAGTAACGGTCAAGTTTTCTCGAAACGTATCTGTTATGTTCGTATGTTTTCGTGTATAACATGAGGAATATATAAATAAGCTTCGGACGCAATATTAGTTAGAACTTCAAGATATTTTTGTTTATTAAGTCTTTATAAGAAATGTATTAAATGTTTGTCTTAGTGTATATACGTAGATATTTAATCAAAAATACTAGAGACGTGTTTTACGCGAAATAAACTTAATGTATAATCCTTATATAATGTAATTTACGCGAAATATACGAGATAATTTCTGTAAATAAAAATTATATTTAAAAAAATTTTTATTATGGCTAAAATAATCAAATCTGTTTCTCGTCTCTATCTTAAGGAACCCAAGCTTATTACACTGATGTTTACTAGGACGTGCGTTTTATCTACACATTACTAACACATTTATTCTTTTTTCACACTCAACAATATTTGATTGGATATTAACTAAGTTTCGCGTCTATTATCGGTTAAGCATCAAAATCTGGCAACAGAATGCGAACCGTGTAAGCTTAATAATCATTTGTTTTTATACAATTACTTCGAACGTAAACTTTCATCCATTCAGTGTTTCACTTAATGTGATTTAAGCATAATTCATAGAAATTTCAGCTTATATAAAACATTATCTGAATGGTATTGTTTCGATTGAGTCAGATCGGATCGGGTTCGGGTTTAAAAAATCTGGTAGAATCAATTTTGGACCGCAGATTATCGGGTCAGCTCTATCAAAAGCATTATGAAATTTGACAGTATGCTAACTTTATGCTATCTGAATTTATTTGGGGTGATTCTTTAAGGAATGTTTGGTAAATGTGATCCATACATATTTTATTAGAAGGTGCAATCTTACGATCAATCAATAAGAGAATTGATCCATCATTGCGGGTCATAATTGGCGATATGGTCATGTTGCAATCTTTGACCTCGCGGTACTTTCGGGTAAGGTTCAGATAAGTTTATAAAGGGGAGGATTTGGAAGGTTTGTGGGATTTGGGAAATTTATTGGGCAAGGTAAATTAGGTTAGTATTATGACATTTTTATCGGTCTGAGTTCTATTTTCTTTATTTTATCAACATTGACACATAGATAAATTACATGTATATTGGATAATCAAGCAACGCGATGAGTTTATTATTTAAAGTTTGAAGTAAGAATACAATGGTCCTTCTCATTTTATATTGGTACTAACTTATACACCGCTAACTCTAATCCTGTCCTACAAGCAAATCGATAAGAATTACCACGTCGAGATCGAGCATTCTAATAAGCCAGAATCGTTATGGGGAAAATCAACCCAAAATATTTTGGTACCAGAGTACAAAGAGACATCGTAAAAGATTTACAAGCAAAAAGGAAAAAAGTATAGGAGGCTACAGAAGTGGAAAAGAGACGAGGAAAAAAGTAGATGTTCGTCTTATATTACCCCATATTCTTTCGTGTTGTTTTTCCTTGATTTTTTTATTAAATAAAATTTTTCTTTAGTGCATTCAAAACAAGCATACGTATATTCTATGTACTGGCAGCTACTGAATATTTTGATAGGTTACCTTACAGACCAAGGACAAAAGAGACTCGAGAGATATACGAATTGATATTTGCATTCGTTAGCCAAAACCTCGGTGATCAAGCTCAAGATACAATTTGAAGTGTTGCAGACGACATTCTGCAAATTTTTTAAAATGATTTACTCAAGGATTTTGACAAGAAACGGTCATGGTACCATTGCATCAGATAGATTTGCGCAGCTATTGAATTTGGGGAAAAACAATAGATTATCATCCTGAGGATGCCATGAATAAAAGTGAACTCTTAGATAAGATTGATGATGAACTTGAGAGTTGCCGTAATATTTGATGAAGATGATGAATTTGGAAAATACGAAGTTGGGTCCGAGGAGGAAGATTATGATGAAGGTGATGTGGAAGCATTGACAACAGGTGTATTAGGCGTTGGAAAGTTAAAGATGAAGAAGATAGAGAGTCATTCAGATGAAGAAAACGAAGGTTCCGAACTGCTAATAGACCAAATACTACCAAATCAAAGGTCACTGGTGCTAAGGCTTTACTAAAAATATATCCACATGACATTGACTTCAGCGTCTAATATCAAATAGCTATTCAGATCTACGCACCGCACAAGAAAAGACAGCAAATACTTGAATTAGAATGAAATATTGATGACTGAAAATGAATTCATGAATCCTTTTGATAATAAATTTTATCTGATCAATATGTTGACAAGTAATAAGAATTAATTTTATAGTGTACGAGACTTGCCAAAGCCGGGACAGACAACGCTAAGCAACAAAGTATTGAATGCAAAATTTGAGAACGAGGATTAGAATGGATTCTTAAAGAACTTAGAGGAGAGAGAATTCGTCACAGTGAAAGTGCCGCCCGGAAAGGTGTGGTTGAGGACACAATGGAATAAATGATAAACCTGTGCCAGCACATGGTCCAATTTCTGCTTCTGTCAAGGCTACTCTGCCTCCAGTAATGACGGCAATACTTAAAGCCATAAAATTCCGAATTGCTAACGTTTACAATTAAAGTCTAACAAAAAGTACAAGCTGCTAAATGAATCTTATAAGATTTCTAAGATATTGAAGATGATAGTGATTTGGCTAAGAGCATGTGAATATATTTATCATTATTTGTGGGGAGGCCGTATGAAGATAACGATAATCATACATTACTATGTTTATTTTACCAACTCAATTCAGATTTTGACAATGTCTTTCTCAAAAATTATGCAGATCTTCGACCGCAAAAAAAATATATTTGTGCTTGCATTTATATTTATATTTTTGACATTGCACTTGCCTCTCTATCTTTACTACTTTTTGGAGCCAGTTGCAACCCCTTTATCCTTTCACACCTACACTTTCAAAGACTACGATAATCCCTTCTACTATGTTGTACGAGCGTATTTGTTGCTTTCGATTATTGCTTAGTGAAATTTCTAATCACATTCTCACTATTTGTAGAGTAGCATCGCATTTGTAATTATTAGCATCTTTGTGGCTCTGCTTGGTTTCTTTTGCACTGGAGATCTTTTTTACGCTTGTTGCAGAAACAAATTCAATAATAGAAGTCTTATTAAAGCCATCGAAAAAGGCACTCGACCTAAAACCGAGGTTTCAGTTGATAACTTTATTTCTCGACATATAATTGTGGATTACCTTAAAAATATTCTTCAACCGGACAGTGATCAATCGTTTTATTATGTCGATTGTGGTGAACATGGAAGTGGGAAAACTACGCTGGTCAGAATTGCATCAAGTGAAGTTGGTCGTGGCGTCATATACGTTGATGTTCCTTCTGATGTTGAAGATTTTGGCTTAGCATTTGGAAAAGCTCTCAACTTTGCATTTGAGGAGCGGATCTCTTTTACACAACAGTTAACACGGAAATTGGGCAATACTAATGGTGAGTCTATTATCATTGCATTTTTATAAAGCAAAACATTTATGACCTTAATTTCTTTCTTGATAGGCAACCGTGATGATCTATTGTGGAAGAGAGCTCTGAAAGCATTTAAACGTGGTGCCAAGGAGTATAAAGCCAAATACAATAAACCTGCGGTCATCGTTTATGATAATGTGAGCCGGTTGGTTCATAAGAATCCAGAAATTCTTGATATCCTCCAAGACGACTCCAAAGACAATGCCGATGATAATATATACATTGCGGTGTTTGTCAGCAGTGAAGGTTCGGTTTCGAGAATAATGGAATGTAAGTATAGAAATTATTCTTGCCCTTGAAGGAGACATGGCTTGATGCAATTCTCATCTAGCTCGTAGTTCCTGGTCACGAGCAAAGACACCAATGGAAATCGGTGACCTTAGCGAGGAAGAATCAATAAAATATCAGACTGAGATATATATGATCATCGAAAAAGCGGAAGAATTATATCAATTAGTTGGTGGACGCATTTTAGAGTTGAAAGATGTTGTAAGTGATTTTTTGTCAAAACAATCCATTGAAGGTATGAATAAATTTCATAAAGTTTCATAATTTTCATATTTTTGCTTTGGATTAACTGCCTATCTCATTTTTTATAGATATCAGGGATAAAAATTAATCAAAACCGGCAAGAAATTTAATTTAGCAAAACTACTTAAAGGTCAGGAACACCATGAGGCAGGAAAACGTATAATTGACGCTTTGTTGAACTCCAAAGAAATTAGTATTAAAGAATTTAGAGACTTATTCGCAGATGAAAAGGAACACGGTGGAGTTTTAGAAGCTAACGTGTTTGCATATAATCCATCAAGAGATACCGTGAGTTTCCAATCGCAATCAATAGAATATTACATTCGGAAAAATTATGATGAATTTGCTGATCTAGTTAGCCTCAGTTCTAATTACGCATCAACTTCCAAATAATAAAATGGACGAGAAACTATTTTGTACGAAATATATGACATCAAGGCTTAGCATAATATATCGGAATAAATTTTAGAAAAAAATGTCTGAAAAAGAAATCCACTATATCGACACTTAATGCCGGCTCATGCCGGTATGCATGCACTTCGTCAACAGTTAAAAAACAAAAACCTGGTGGGGCGGACGGATAGATTGTGACAAGCAATAAAAACGTCACGTGTCAGTGGCGCAGTAATGCATAATTTTTGCTTGCATCTTGATTTTTTGAAATTGACGATGCCGTAAAGATTTAACCCGCTGAATCATACTCTCACCAATTTCACTAAATAAATCGTAGATTTCCGAGCTCTTTCCGTAGTAGCGATTTTGAATTAATTTTAGATAACAATTATCACAAAATAATTATCAGAAAAGAGATCATTTAGGCCTGATTGTTTTATTAGCTGAAAAGCCAGCCCTCTGACTTAATACAATAAAAAATACATGTGAAGTGAAGAGATTATCTACCAGTTATTTCTTGGTAATTTTTCTTGCATGCAGCGCTTTTTATTTTCAGGTTCATCACATGCTAATGCCCTAACCCCACGATTGTACTAATTACTTGTTTTATATCTTTTCTCAAATCTTCCTAATTACCCTTAGGCACTTTCTTCATAAAATTAATTGATATTCGCTATTGCTCATACAAAAAATTTGGAAGTGAATATAATAAAGTGCCAATCCATATCTTAAAATAAATCCAGAATAATAATATTATAATTTGAAAAGTTGTTCTATGAATCTGTCTCATAAGAATAATTATAATTCTTGATCTTAAATAGTTTGTTCACGGTTATTTTCTTCTTGTTTATATAAAAAAAACTCTCGAGTTTTTTTTATTTTGAAAATAATCAATCCTAATATTTTATAGTTTACTTTCAGTTATATACAAAAGATTTTTCATTCCTATTATTAAATAATTAACCTCATCAAATATTTCTTTATCCAAAATATTCTTCTATAATTTTATATTGATTTCTTTATCTGTTAACCTTTATGTAATTGCAATTGATACATATAATATTAATGAAATAAATTTGCAAAGTGTGGCTTTTTTTTTAAACACTAGCATAGTCTTGCCTAATATATTTTATTATTGTTTATTGTTTATTGTTTATACTGTATAGTTATATAATATTTTATAATTTATTTTACTACTACAACTTTATTTTATATATCAAACTATATTGAGATCTTATCAAATGTTGTTTTGAGTTATTTGATTTATTCTCTAATCTAGGTTGAAGCAAAGGTTTAAAAATCAATGTGCCAAAACTACATTAGTATTAGTAAATAGAATGTTTATATAATTATTGTGTTTATTGTTCTATCTGCACTTCAGAAACTAGAATATTATTTTTTGTTCATATTTGTATTTTTTTTCTTTCTCTTGCTTGTTCCAGTCTTCTTTTTTTTTTATATTCTTATTTATTTTCCTTTTTCTTTATTTTTATAATTTCTTATTTTTTTATTCAATTAATAACCTTTTCACACCTTTCCTTCCACCATATTTTCATTGTTTTTTTCATATGTCTTGTAATTGCTTCACATGTTTTCTTAATTTGTTCTGAATTCATTTTTATTTTTTTTTATATATAACACTAGCTGGACTTTGCCTAATATACTCTTATTAGTTTATAACATTTATATATATTTTTATAATTATGTTATAATTTCATTTCTACTTTTATATATTAGACTATATCAAAGTTTTTACCAGATATTGACTTTGAACTTTTGATTTATTCTTTAGCCTAAACTATTAAAAAGTAATCAAAAAAATATATCAAAGCTTTATTAGTATTGATAAATAATATATTAATATAATTATTGTATTCCGTGTTTCATTTGTATTCTATAAACTATTTTGTTATTTTTTCTGCTCTTTTTCTTGTTTTTTCTTTTTTCTCTTTTATGCTATAACTTCTGGCTTTCTTTATTTTTTTTGTGTTTCCTTTGCTTTTTACCTTTTTTTTTTTTTTTTGCTATGATGGCATTACTTTTTTCTTATTATATTGTTTTATTGCATCTTTCTTTTCACCATTTTTTAAACTTTCTTCTATTTTATATATAATTGTTTTACATATCTTTGTTACTTTTGTACCTACTTTATTTCTAATATTTGATCATTTCCTTTATGAATACTGATTTTATTATAAGTATTTTTATATATTCTAAATTTATCTGTAATAATTTTGTTCTATAATTATGCTATAGAATCCATACTGTATCTAATGATCCAGATATTTCAAAAGGTATCTGATCTGCCCTGACAACTTACAAATCTAAGTCGTATTTTCGATGATTATCAGATACATATACAATATGATTTTAATTTTTGACAATGTTCTACATTACCAATATATCACTAATTAATTACTAAAAACTAATATAATCAAATTAGAAGCATAAGGCCATAAAGCATATATATTGTTTATATTACTTTCTTTTATTTTTTTTTATATTTTCTTTATATTAATTAAGTATATATATCTCTAGAGATTAAGTCTTATATAGATATATATTTATTTAAATTTATTTATTTTTATATTTTTATATTATATAAAGTTAACATATATAAAAAATACTTTTTTGATCTTAATAAAGTTTTAACTTTGTTAATATTAAAATAATAATCATTCAAGTTCACTGTTTTTTGAAATTACTAACAATTTTATTAAAACCTCTATAACTTAATAGTAACAGATTTAAAGAACTTTTTTTCTTGTAAGAAAATCTTAAGCAAAACCTTGTTAAAATAAATATCAATCAGTTTATCATTTCAATAAAAACCTTTGAGAACACTATAAAAGCTTTCATCCAAGACAAAAAGAAAAAAATTGCTAAAGAAAGTTTCACTGCCACCATCTCTACTGCATCAAAGATATTTTTAATAATTTATATATTCAGAGAAGAATTTAAGAAAAATGTCAAAGTTTAGCTGTATCAAACAAAAAATATCCTATATGTCTAAGGCATTAAGAAAGAAAGAATCATACTGTACTATACTGCTACTGAATTTGAAGATACTATTAGTGCTGCTTTCATTAATTAAATCCAATTTAAGAAGAAACTTCAAACTGCCTTCTAATCTCTATACTATCAATAAAATTTTTATCACCAATTTAAAATCCTGTTCTAAATAGAAACTATATAGAAATATGCCTTCCAGTTTAAAAATTTAATAAGTCAAATTAATAATATACATTAGTTAAACTATATTGCCTATTTTATAAAAGGATTAAAACTGGTAACAAAAATAGAAATGAGTTACAAGTATCTTAAAACTATTAATGATGTCATCCATATTGTGACCTGCTATAATATTATTATATTTGGATTAGGCCACTCAGTAATAAGAAACTATCTTTCAAAAATGAATCAATCATTACAAAGCTATTAACAACTTGTATTAATGGACTTAGATTAGGTAAAAATATGATACGAGTCTCTTACCCTGAACAAAAGAAAAATTAAGTACTACAATTGTAATGACATGAATTACTTTGCAAAAAAAAAACAAGAAGATAACCACTAAGGCCAAAGTAACTGTTTTTAAAAAGCAACTTATCTTATCAGATATCAAGTTTATTTATATTTAAGAAAACCAATAACAGCTGCTTCAATTCAATAGTAAAATTAATGAATGTCTTGTATAGATTCTATTGAATTTTAGTGCTTTAAAAATTTTGTTAAAAGAACTATATATCAAAAAAGCTGATTTAACCATTTTCTGTAAAACTTATTAATAGACAAAGAAAAAAAGTTATTACTAAAATAAAAGTCAAGGCTCTGGAACTGGAAAAATATCATACCATAGAATTTTTATCTAAGTCCTGGAGTTGCAAAAATATAATACTATCCAAAAAACTATAGTTATACCAAGTTCACTCTCATATTGATTAGAGAATCAACACATACTAAGGCTCCTAACGATACCATTTCGATATCATTTCGATACCAGTTCAATACTTAAATTTACTATAAAAACATATAAGTAGGTCACAACCCATATATTAAATTTACTATAGATTGATACCATTTTGATACCAGTTTGATACCAATTCGGTATTTTTTTGGAACCCTAACACATACTTTTTTAATGATGAACTATACAATATTAAAGTATTTGCTAGTATCTTCTGAATTTCAAAAAAACCCAAGTATCATTTTCTTCTTATTTTCAAACACCAACTTGCTAAAACATCTATTAACAAAAAAATATTTGTTATATGCACTACCTCTAAAAAAGTCATCTTGGAGAAACTAAACCTCTCTCCTGAATAAGCTGCTATTCTAAAAGAATTTTTTAATGTTTTTTCTGCTGAATTACTCAACCAACTGCTATATTAAAGAAAAATTAATCATGCTATAGATTTGATATCTAAAGCAGAACCATTTTCAAAATCTATCTATTATTTCTTCTATATAAAAATAAACAAATTGAAAAAACAACTGGCCAAACTAATTGCCAAAAAATTTATTAGATCCTGTATCTTTTTCTTTGGTACTTTCATATTATTTGTCTATAAAAAAAAATGTTAAAACTCTGTATTGATTATCATACCTTAAACAAGATAACTATTAAAAATTGGTATTCTTGTTTCAAATAGAAAAATTAATAGATCAATTGATTGGAGTCAAATACTTTAATAAAATTAATTTATATTTCAAATATCATCAAATTTATATTAAAGAAAAATATTTTTTCAAGATTATATTTTAAACAGGTATGACTATTACAAGTTTCTTGTTCTGCTCTTTGGATTAACTAATATACTAGCTAACTACTATTCAAAATTAGGGCTTTGAAAAAGTACTGAACTGGTATCGAACTGGTATCAAAATGGTACTGATCTATAGTAAATTTAATATATAGGTTGTGATCTACTCATATGTTTTATAGTAAATTTAAGTATTAAACTGGTATCGAAGTGGTATCATTAGGAGCCCTATTCAAA